AAGAATTCTCGCTCTCTTTTGGTGTCTAGGTGATGGCTCTTTCAGCAACAATTGAGGCAGCTCAATCTCATGTGGATCAATAATACTTGAGTTCTGGCGCTGTCTGGTGTTGGTTTTGGGCATTCCACTTGCTGTACGTATCACAGCGTCAAGTGCCTCCATAACGACAGTGTTTTCAGTCATCACGTGTTTATAATGCATCGCCATGAAGCACTCGACGTGATACCCGAGACGGCAGCGAGTGCACGCGTATTTGACACGATTCTTTCCACCACGGAGTGCGCATAAGCGACATAGTAGCTTACTGCGACTTCGAGTTAGCATGTGCTGAGAAGAATCGCTTCCAATAATGTCTTCAATTGGCTCTCGGTGAGTCGCCCGTCTCCGAAGTGACTGCATGTACTGCTGTTGTGCTGCTACTAGCCTATTGACAATTACTTCCTTTGCCGCTCGAATTGATTTGATTTCACCATTCCCATGCTCGATAACTTGATACATTGCGAAGGCGTTGTGGATTGCAACGTCAAGAAGCCATGTGAAAATACTCATGTTTAGGCGACGCTCCCGTCGACGTGTCGGATTGGTGCTGCGCATTTGATCAAACCGATCAACAGCATTCATGAAGACATTGTATGCACAGACCTGAACTGGGGCCCGGATTGCGGTCCGACGAAACATTTCCTGCCCAGTCCACCTTTGAACAAAGCCCATGCCGTGGCAGCAAGTCTGAGCTTCTGGTGTGTTTCCGTCTAGCACATCAGCAGACGGTGTTGCAGCCAAATCATTCGTGTAGAAGACAACTACTCTCTTGTCGCGAAATACAATATACCCAGCGTGAGGCGAGCGAACGTATGGTGGTTCAAATGGAGTTTTTTGCACCTTCCTCAAGCCTTTCTGGCTCTGTTTGGGAGCCTTTTCAAGCTCTTTCACGTTGTTAACAAGATCATGCGCCGCAACTAACTTCCAGCAGCCCCGTTCAGCATCATTCAGCTCTAGAACAGCCGATTCAACAGCAGGTCGAGAGAAAGAGTCCACATAGTTTATTCTGCAGGTCCCAATCACTCTCATCTCTCCTAAAGTCAACTCCAGCACATGCTTCGCAAATGCATGCCTCGTGTAGTAGGAATCCATGCCGAGAAGCCGTTTCTCACTCGGGGAGAGCAGTTGCTGGTTGTGTAGAGACAACATCGCCACCCAAAGCGCAGTAGCACTCTTGGGGTCAAGTCTGCCATGATCACATCTAGTTGTCATCACTCTACGGAGCTCAGGAAATATTGCAGTGTAGCACTCTTAATGTCCCGCTATGGTGGTATTGCCACTTCCATTGTCGAACAGGCCGTGAACGTAAAGCGTCTTCCAGCCGACTAAAGCGTAAAATCGCTCGGCGTACTTGTCTGGCTTCGATGGGATGTAAGTTCTGGCTGCGGACTGAGCTTTTGTCCGAATTGAGCTTTCATCCAGAGCGGATACGCCATCTGGAACTGCAAAGTTGGAGCACTTCTTCAATATATTGTTCAAAATATTTCGGCAATACCAAAGAGAATCTCTCACCTTGACTTCTTCCGGCACAGTGTCAACAGGGTGTGGTGTCAAAGCGGACCGGATACCAAGAAACAAATCACGCTGCATTGTTGCTCGGAAGAGCTGGTGACCATAAAGCTCGTTTGTCGACCAATAATTGCGCAGGCGGTTCAGAGAGCAGAGGCTGGTTGCAATCTCGAGCCCTATGTAGGCATCGATCTCGCGCAGTGTTATGACAGGGATCCCTTTTTCCGAGAGACGAGGGTTTAGCCACTGAAGCAGCGTATTACGAACGCT